CTCACTGATATATACAGAACATATGAAGGAGCATATACCCATAGAAAACCCGGCTATTAGCCGTGCTATGATGAGAGCTGGAATATTCTTACAGAGAGCAATAATAAGGAAAGCCGCGACATTGAGAGGGCCAGCGATTAGGAGGGCGACTCGTCGACCTGTACGTTCAGCAATGGGACCTCCTGAGAGAGTACCGATAAGAGCACCCAGAGTGAGGGCAGCGCTGAAGAAACTCGCGACCATCGTCGAATCAAAGACGAAGAGATCTGAGTTAACGCCAATTTCGATATGTTCCCCATCTGGAGTGGCAACAGTATTCTGCATTGTGTCGATGACAGGAGCGGTAAAACCGCAACAGAGGCCAACAAGAAGAGGAGCCGGTAAAACAGCAGTAACCGCTAGCAGTGCTCTCCGATCGGATAGACGCTCAGCCTTTTCTGATGTCTCCCAGAACATAAACTAAACTAAGAAACTATACGCAACTCGGATAAATTGGAGTCCTCGGCCCTCCCAAATCTATTGGAATAGGCCATGGCATATTCCAACACGAATCCTCACGATCTCGATATTGGTGATGCCCCATGCTCACTCTCTGAGGGCCGAGACACCCCTCTTGAAATGACTTGTGAAAAGAGATTCATCACTCCGTGCAAAGTATTTTACGTGATTCTCGGACGCAACTACTTCCGAGATGCTGCCTCAACTTAGAACCCTCAAAGTTCACTCGAACAACTAAGGTTGATATCTACGGCTATACACTGTTAATGGTCTGTGATGTTGCCAGCGCGTGTCACCTTAGTCATAACGTTTACGAACGCAACCATTGGGGACAGGGCACACAATCTATATAGCTGCCGATAGACGAGAGATCTTGTCTCCCGCATCCTCCGATGAGTGGCTATCATGGATTATGATAAGATGCAGTTCATTTCTTCTTCATACAGATGGGGAAGGAGAGGAAACCAAGTGAAGAGATTATGACGTCAACTCTTGCCATTGGGTGGTCAACAACGCACAGATACTTGTAGGAGACCATGACGTGAACAGAGTGACGAGTAATTGTCCGAAGATTCAACCCATTTACTAATGGCCCAACGCATTGGAGGTGGAGACGGTACTGAAAGAATTGAAGATACCATGAAATCCTGGATTCAGAATTGGGGGGTATCGGGATGTAGTGAGCATAGTATTTATGGTTAGATTGGTGAATTCAAGGCCGACTACTGCTATAACAGGAGCTGCCAGGGAAGCAGAGTGAGCTAGGGTGGTACATACATGTCTACCAAGGAACTTCACTATGATGATGATGAAGTGACGACGCTTGGTATGACTCTACCTTCTGAGCCGTTGTAGAGATGGATCGACAACTTACAAGCAACATGAAGGGAATAACTTCAAGAATCAGGATCGCTTTGGTTGAGTGAACACCCACGTTGTGGTGACTGATGAATAGCGAAAACCCTGTGTTAGTTGGGTAGTTCTAAGAGTGGCAGTTCAGGACGTTGATTACAATTTCATACATGTGTGATATCGCTTACCTGCGTAGACGAAAAATGGAGTTAATGAGGAGCGAGCTCCGAGGGCGAGAAGGAAAGGTTACATAATAATTCCACCTCTCTCGGGCACACTCCTTATGTTACTCCCCTAGAGGTAGTAGAACTACTCCAGACACAACACTGTTGATATTGGCGACCCTATCTTAGCGGATAACTCGATTGAACTGAATGTGCTGAAATCGAAAAACTTGAGAAGATGCCAATCGCTAGCCCGGCCACAAAGACCAAGATGAGGGAAAACTTTTCACCGATAGTCAATGGTACAGTTCATCGCAGAGCCTATACCGCAGAAGCATTCATTTCAGTACTTGTAAGTCTTGGTCTTTCACAGGCCGCTGACTCTGAAATAGCAGCTGGACCTCATCCAACGTCTTGCCTTTAGTCTCGGGCAGTAACCACCATATAAAAATCATCAGTATGAAGGAGATTACGACGAAGAAGAAAAAGACAGCTTGCATGGATGTTGCCGCTATGGCATGGTCGAGTGACAACAGGAAGACCGCCGCGAATAACCATGTAGTGAGGAGGGATAAACTTGATGCCAACCCCCTAGCATGGTCTGGGA